CTACCAACGGTAGCCATTACCTTGACTTACAACAGTAGAGATTAGTTTTTGCTTGTTTAAAATATTTTTATATAAATGGAATCATAAGTATGTTGTCTTTTATGTGTGGAATTTTTTTTACTCAATGTTATTATTCTGAGTTTTATCCATATTTTTGCATGTAGTTGTAGATTATATATTCTCATTGTTGTCTAATATTTCACTGTGTAACTATACCCCAATTTACTTATCCATTCTACTATTGATTGGCATTTCAGTGCTGTTCAGTTTGAGGTTATTATGCAGAGTGCTGCTGTAAACATTCTAGTATGTTATTCTGATGATCTTTTTGTCCATTTTGTTGGATGTATCCTTATAAGTGGGGGTTACTGGGTCATAAGGTAGGCAGGTGTTTAGCTTTAAAAGATATTGCTAATTTCAAAAAGCAGTTCTCACCAGCAATACATGAGAGTTCTAGTTGTTCCACATCCTCACTAAACACACTCTGTACATTTTGTCTTTTTCATTTTATTCATTGTAGTGGAATGTATTGATATTTTATTGTGGTTTAGTTTGCATTTCTCTGAATACTAATAAGAACATCTTTCCATATGGATATCCTTTTATCATGGATAAAAGTGTCTGTTCCTGTTGGTTTGGCTAGTTCTTTTTTGTTTTGTTTTTTTTCCTGATTGATTTGTGTAAGTTCTTTATGTATTCTGGATATAAGAATTTGTTGATATATATGTTGCTGTGAATCTAATTTCTTTTTGATGTTTATTGTTTTAGAACATTCTAGAAATGCACAAGATATTTGGGACTTACATTTTAAAGTGGACATAGACCCATTCTTTAGGTGTTCAACAGGAAAGCATAAATAACTCTTCACTATGCTGCTTGGTATTTGCATATGACGTAGCACAAAACAGTGACAAAGACCGTATGGTAACAAATAATTGGAGGAATTATAGTCCTCTTGAAGAAAATAGAATGACTTATTTATTCTCACATAGTACACATATTCTTTCTTGAAAAAGAACATAGCAAAAAGATTTTCCGTGCTTAGATTCATGTCTCATTTATGGTCTTTTGAGGTAATGGTATATTATACAGCGTGATTTTTTCCAAAACTATGTGGTTGCATTTAATGCAAATCTAAATCATCTAAATTTGATACTAAACAATATAAAAGGAGTGATACATTTTCATTTTTAAGTAATAGGAATATGGTGGCGTGAAATGTCATCAATTCTCATATGACTTCACAGCTTTCCATCTAGTGAACTGCAAACTCTATTTACTATTTTTTTCCTTTGGCTCTGCCACATTATCTGGCAGATAAATCCTTTGTCAAGATTTATTTTGAATAAATCATATTTTGAATGATGTGAAATCACTTAGATAAAATGCTACAGCCTTTTAACTAGATCAAACCTCTTCAAGCCCCCAAACTCTGTTATTTAGTATTTAAGGGTAGTCAGAGGCTGAATTCTAATCCTGCTTCTGTGGTTGGTGCACTTTCCAAATTTGACAGTCATTTAAACTCCATGGGCATCATTTTCTTAACAATGTAAATTAAAAGCTTGGGCTAGAAGAGGGTCTCTAAAACTCCCTTTGGCTCAGAGACCTGTTCTGAGTATTCCTTGGGGATGAAAAGTTTGCAAATATCCTCTTCAGATAAGTGAATCTCAGTATATCTGATGTATGTATACAGATATGAACCAGAATTCACTTGACTCCCTATCATCAAATGATCAGAACAGTGAGAAGAGAGAAATGAATTGAAGGGAATTGGAAATTGTATTTTTATTGACTATGGTAACAATTTTCTAAAGACTGACACCTTTATAATATGTGACGTTCCCACGGGCTAGCATAAGGCCAAATAGTGCTTATTGCCGTTGGTCGATTTTCAGCTCATCAGCACTCTCATTAGCATTGGATAAGAATTACTATTTTTCCATAGCTTTTACAAAGCCTGGAGTTTTTCTATCTTTTCATATCATTTTTTGTCAATTTCATGGCTATGAAATAGTTTCTGAGTATAATTTGATTTTTGCCTTTCCCTGAAGACTCATAGAATTGAGCATCTTTTTATTTATTCATACAGCATATACCTGTTTTTCTATGAAATTACTATACATTTATTTTGCCCATTTTCCCCATTGTTCATCTTGTTTTTCAAATCGAGTTATCAGAATGCTTTGCAAATCCTGTATTGTAGTCCTTTGTAGATTAATATGGTATGAAAATATTTTCTACCAACCTAATTTAGATTCTTACTCTCTTTATGGTATTATTGATGAACCAGGTGTTCTTAATTTTAATGCAGTTGAATTTATCAATATTTTATTAGTGATTTTTGTGGCTATTTAATAAATCCTTCCATACTTCAGTATTGTAATTTCTTGTCTTACAAAAGTTTTACAGACTTACCTTACTAATTTATATCCTTAGTCCATGGAGAATTCATTTTTTGTAAACAAAATGATGTAAAGATCCAGTTTCACTTTATTCATGTAGATAACCAGTTGTCCCAGCACCATTTATTGACTAATCTATACTTTGCTCACTTATTTGCAATGTCTGACTTGATATAAATCATTTTCATATATGCTTAAGAATATTTTTAGTTTGATTATTATCTTTATTCTCCCCCTTTTGTCTATCCTAATGCATTATCTTTATTATCATAATTTTCTAATAATTGTTAATCTTTACAGGAAAGTTCCTTAATCTTCTTTCTCTGGTGTATCTTGGCTATTTTGGGCTTCTTGTTTTTGTCGTAGAACTTGTAGAATCAGCTTTTCGTATTCATTTTTAAAAAATCATTGAGATTTTTACTGGAATTTCATTGACTCTATAGATCTGTTTGTATGTTTAAAATATTGATTTTCCCTGGTACGTATAACCCTACGATCTTTCTGAAATATCTTCAACCCAACAGTTTTTTTTTAAGATAATTTTCAGTGTATACAATTATATTTGCTAATATGATGTGGGTTTTTTCACTTATACTCTTGATAATGCTTATGTGTTTCTCTTGTCGTCCTACATTATCTAGGACTTTAGGCACAGTATGTTGATAGTGGGCATCTGTGTTCTGTTTCTGATCTTAAAGAGAGTGTTCTAGATTTCACAGTGAAGTATGACATATGCTATTTGTTTTAGATCACTTATCACATTTATTACATTAGGCAGGCAAGGGGGAAGACATCTACCATTTCTAGTGCCCACCAACTTTGCCAGATGCCTGTACAGCATTATCTCATTATATCCTGAAAGACTGGTATCACTAACCATTTTTAGAAACTGAGATTTTAAAAGATGCATAATTGCCCCCAGTGCAGTTAACAATTGGCCAGCTAGGATCTAAATTCATAGTTTAGCCTGATTTTTTTTTTTCCTAGTATATCAGAAATATTTAGTTGTGCTGGCTCCCAATATCAAGGCACTTGCCATGTTGAACTGACCAGGGAAACAAACACCTAAACTGTAAGACTTTCAGAGACAAGGATTAGGTCAGTCTTGGTCACTCTGTTATCCCTAAAGACTAGCACTGGGCTTAACACTTGGGGGGATTTCAGCCAATATTTTGAGTGTTTGAATGGAAGGGACCCTCTAGTATGGATTGGGCTGTGCTTGGTGACTCTGCCTCAGAATGTGGTGGGTTGAGCCTGACCATTAGTCTTCACTAATAGTTTACTAGTAGACAGTGACTCTCCCTCAAGGATTCACTCTCTCGTGAAAGTTCTTAGGTGCTCACTATCTTACTCAGTGCCATGCCTTGCTTACCTGTAGCTGCTTATGGTACTTTCTGTATCCAGAGAGTCAGGTCATTGGGCCTTGATGAGCTGAGACCGTGATTTGAGCTCTGATGCAAAGACATGAGTTATTAGATTATTGAATGACAATATTCCTGAGGTAAAATCCTATTGCCAGGATAAGAGTGAGACCCCTGTTAGTATATGAACCCTCCAGTGGGCATAGTAGAGATGCTGTATTACCAGGGAAACAGGTTAAGATTCTCTAGTATCACTTATAATTCTATGTTTATAGTTTATCAGAAGCTGAGTCCAAACCATACTGTCTCATTTTTCTTGGTACAATGCCATCATTGCCTAGAAAGTTGAGGGAGCTTTTGGCTTCTACTCTTTTTTTGGTTAAACTCGTTTAATTAGTGGGAAAAGACTGCTCTTTCCAAATAGCCCCATTTCTGTTTGATCTAACATTTTGTGGGATCTACGTTGTTACTCCTAAATGTAGTAAAAACTGAGATATATAGACGATGTTGAGACTTCATTTACATGCTGTTCCCCTGAGGATGTCCTGGATTTCCAGTCTCATAAAAGCCAGCCCTACCATCTGTTTGGTGAGATCAGGGAATGAACCAACGATCCAGCTAATGCCATTAAGCCTTCTATCACTGCCGCCTCCACCCAGGGAGAAAAAATGCACTTGCTCTATAGGAAATTTATTTACTTCCAGACCAAATTCTATTATTTTTTCTTTGCTTTCCCCTCATCAGATAATGTGTTATGGTTTCTCAGTGGTGGAAATATTTGTCTCTTCACTGAGAAGATCTTTGAATATAAATGCCTCACTGAAAATTAAAATAACGCCTCAGTTGGATGGAGAGAATGTTGTAAACACATTGGAATCCATTGTTGCCAGCAGAGGAGAACCATCCAATATGTATTTATGGTACCTGACTTGTGCCCTCAAGATATCACAGAGCTACTTTCTCTGATCAGAGCTCTTGCAGTGATACTTAGAAATGCATTGAATTTTCACGAATGTCAGCTTTAGCTATTGCAGTTGATGGCCCAAGAGCTGAGGTTTATTAAAAATATACTGCCACCTACAGTACTATTTAACTCTCTTTGACAGGGCTCTTGTCATGAATGTTTACTAGACAAAGAGTTAATTTGGGGGCTGATTAGTTATTGTTTCTGTGAAGATTTGCTAATTTACATAGTATGTTTCTTTACTTATGCATGTATGTATCTGTTTTCCTGTAGGAAAAGAAGAATACATTGCCACCTTCAAGGGATCTGAATACTTCTGCTACGACTTGTCTCAAAACCCCATTCAAAGCAGCAGCGATGAAATAACTCTGTCCTTTAAAACCCTTCAGAGGAATGGACTGATGCTTCACACTGGGAAATCAGCTGATTATGTCAATCTCGCCCTGAAAAATGGAGCTGTCTCTCTGGTCATTAATTTGGGATCAGGGGCCTTTGAAGCACTAGTGGAGCCCGTGAATGGAAAGTTTAATGATAATGCCTGGCATGATGTGAAAGTCACCAGGAATCTGCGTCAGGTAACAGCGCAGTGGATAAGAGAGTAACTGGCTTTGTTTCTCGCTACAGCTGTGTGTGTGGTACTTGAAAACCCTAACAACATGATACAGGGCTCCTCAGAGTGGCTTACAAATTAGCTCTTTCTTCTTCTGAGATGAATCTTCCTGCCATACTTGAGCAGGGGCATATCTAGAAAGTTCCAGGGGCCTAAAGGCTATTTTGACACAGCGACATATGACAGTTTCCCAGAGGGCTGCAAGGTTATCCCTGTGACCTGCCCTTCCTGTGATGTGTGTGATTCTGTTGTGTTTTTAGTTTTTTGTTTATTTGATTTTAAATTATAGTTTTCATGGTGATCATTTGGAAGCATGCACATTGGGGTCATTAAATCACAGTTCCTTTTTTGTCGTTTAAAAAAAAAAATCCAACAACAGTGTGTTTGTGATTTGGGAATGTATCAGTCCCTACTCCCTCCCCACCCCAAACTCTGAAATGAGGACAAGAAGAGTCCCTGAGGGGGAAAAATGACTCTGGGGGTTTCCACATCTCTTGAAGAGTCTGTTTATGAAGATATTTTTACTTTTAGCACAGACACTTACGTTAAATCCCAAATGTCTCTGGAGAGGCCAGTTCATCTTCTAGATGCCCATTTCTATTTGATTGTATTTAAAAAAAATTCTTCCAAGTGTCTGCATGTTAGGAAAATATCAATTTTTCAGTAAATCTATGGGTCCCCATATACTGTATGCTTTTAACTGAGACATATTATTACAGTATATATATACAGATGAAAGGGAATAGATTGTCCTTTTATACTGAACATGATAAGTTTTGATTATTATTTGAAATTTTATCATATTACAACGTACCATTCTGTTAAGTGTTGACAGTGACTAATTTTTCTGCAGTACGTGCTGATCTCAAACTAATATCCTTAACATACTTGTTGTTTTTCTGAACAGTTGCAGAATGACCGGATTGTCTCTGGTTTTCCTTTACTAAAACAGCCCTCTCTTTCTGAGCTGTTAACTGTCTAACCTTTTCTTTCCCACTTCTGAAAGGCTTAAACTATGCAAGCTAGAGAAGCAAACAGGAATTTTAGGAGTGCAGATTTAGTCTAGCTGAGGCAGAAAAGTAAAAATGAAGGATTTCTTGAGACCCTCCAAGACCTTTCAGAGGCCTTAGTGTCATGGGAGGAGCCCTGCATGCTTCACACCTGCCTTGGGGGATAGTTGCCCACCATCGGGGTAGCTGTAGACCACGGATTTCCTATAAGTGTGTCTCTTTGGTTTTCCCTTTTTATTATTCTCTCAGATTCGCACCAAGAGGCCGAAGGCTCATTTGAGAGAAGCACAGAGGGAAGGGTGGGGCTTGAGGAGCCTACTTTCTAGATTTGCCTTTGCTCAGGTTACAAACCAAACTGTGAATTGGTAGCTCAAAGGAAACTGCAGTTATACAGCCGGGGTGCATGTGTGGCAGGACAGATTAAAAACAAATCCATTCTACTCATTCTATGTGTCAGGATCTTTGCTTTGTTTCATTGCAGTAAACTGTGACCCTAAAGTCCATCAATATGACCGAAGGAAGTTTTGGAGTTGAGCAGAAGTCCCTGTATGCTGTAAAATTGAGTAGTAGGGCAATGCCAACCGATTCCTATGAATTTGCTGGGACTGGGGTGGGCCAGGGTTGGGGAGGGATCACTTATGGGCAAAAGGCGGCAGTGGTCAGCTGATGAGCTTTAGGCCTTTGAATCCCTTTTAGACTTTTTCAATGTCTGTCAGATGTACTCAGGGAGACAAAGGAACATTGCCATATGTCTGTTTCTGTCTCGTAGCAAGTTACGAACAATACTGGCAGGAAAAATATTACCTCTGTGGGAGGCCTATTTGTTAGTCTGCTTTTTTCTTGTAAAATTTTTTTGCCCTTTTTCTATGTTACTAACATGCTTAATAACTAACATGTCATTCATGGAATGTTTCATTCTACTAACCGTTACCTGAATCAAAAAATGTACTAACATGGTAGAGACCATCATATTTTTTAAGTAACGATCGTTATTCTGTTCACAGTTTTTAATTTCCTTTCTCCCCCCTTCTCCACAAAGCACTCAGGCATTGGACACGCTATGGTAAACAAACTACATTGTTCGGTAGATATCATTCTAATTGTTTCTTATTTTGGGTTTGCCGTGTGTTTTCTTTCTTTCTTTTAACTGTAGACATCATTAACAAAAGAGGAACTGCGGTTGGTACTCTTCTGCTTACTTTGACCTCCTTCTTTTCATCTGTTGTTGACCTTCTTATTTTTTACCTGTTCCTGTCAACTTCTGTTTTCCAACTCACCTGTAGGGGCATCGTTAACGTTTCGAACGTTTTGCATCCAGCTGTGGTTAACACGGGATAAGACAAAATGGTGGCTGGCCCGAGTGACCGCAAGCTCAGCCAGTCTCGAACCATTCATGACGCATGGCATGCACCCTTGATTTGGGAATGCTGGAGATGCCACACCCACTCATCTTTCCGTCATCACAGAGCAGTTGTGTTTTCCTTTGGTTCTCCCCGTTTTCTTTCCTTTCCTTTCTGAACGGTACTGTCCCTCCTGCATGTGCACATCAGCGTGTGCTGCTTCCACTGTTTGTTTTGTTTCCCCTCGCCTTTGGCATGGACGTAGGCACTTGCATGCTGGACAGCTGCTGCTCAGTAGTGCAAACAGTGACGTTGCTGGAAAGAGCTTGCGCCTTTTCTGTTAACAAGGTGCACGTTGTGATTAGTTAATAACAGACGACTAAACTTTGCTAATATGTACTACCAGCAAAACTAACCTAGGAAGCATTTTACTAACACCATTTTTGTGTCTGCTAAATAACTTTTGAGTTGCCGTAGGGATGATGCTGACACTTGTTCAATAATCAGTTAACTCTCTAACTAGTTTAGATCTCTCAGGGCTAGTTGCATAGAATCGGAGAATAAACCTCTAACAGACATGAAAATGGGTTCCGCCATAGGTCTAAAAATAAAAACCAAACAAAGAGAAAAAAAAAAAAAAACCAAAACGCAAAATGAAAAACTAAAACAAAACAAAACACAAAACAGGCATATCCCAGGATTACAGTATCTAGGTCTGAGTATAGCGTGTCCTTTCCCTGTGCTTTGTTATCTAGGTGACAATATCAGTGGATGGGATTCTTACCACAACGGGCTACACGCAAGAAGATTATACCATGCTGGGGTCTGATGACTTTTTCTATGTTGGAGGCAGTCCCAGCACAGCAGACCTTCCCGGGTCACCAGTCAGTAACAACTTTATGGGCTGTCTCAAAGAGGTAAATATCACCGTCACCAGAATCATTCCTAATTCATGACCTCATCATTTCAGATCCAGACTGAAAGCACCTTTGCTGAAGACCCAGAGTTTGTGGTGTCAGAGGGCACAACCTTAAATTCAATATTCCACTGTTGTTTATATAGGATTGGGGGGATGGGGGCAACTCATAGAACATTATCAAGGAATTAAGTTCCTCTTCTTTACAGTCTGTAAGTAATTCACAATTAAGATTTGCAGGGGCAGTTGTATATTAGCTATAAAAGAAAGTCAAACACAAAGAAATATTGGTTCTAGAGTTAAGCCAAACACCTTGCTCATTTCTACTTAAATGCCTTAGGTGTTATATATACAGCAGTGACTTATTTGACCATTACAGGAAAGAAGAAGAAAAAAAATAGGCTATGAGAGACCAAATGCCACAGAAACAAGATGAATCTCTGTGATGAAATAATTTTGTTCCTAGATTTTAAATATGTTCTGAAGGAAGTAACGATGTTTCATTTGTGATCCAGTGAGCTCACTTGATATTTACCTGAGTGAAGCTATCAGGCTAAAAGATACCAAGAATTTCATCCCTCATTCCCAGCTGGCATTGTTGGTTGTAACTTTTGATAGGATCGGAACTTGTTGGGGTATGGGAAGAAGATCAGGAAGATCTTTGGATTTCAACTTGTATGAATACTTTTCCATAACAGCTGCCTGTTTTCATTCAGGCACAACCCAGTTTCTCTGGGCTGCTAGAACCAGAAGTTCCTCTTGCATTATATGGCTGTAGTTTAATGGTACAGACCTCTAAAATATAAAATTTAATAACTTTGAATTTATTAATGATTAGCCATAGGTGGTGTTGGTAAAGCAGTGATGTACTTTGGTTTGTTTATTTATTTATTTATTGGAGCATAGCTGCTTTACAATGTTGTGTCAGTTTCTGCCATACAGCAAAATGAATCAGTTATACATACACATATATCCCTTCTTTTTTGGATTTGGTTTATTTTAAAGAAAATATTATAATCATATAAACTCGATTCAAGTAAGCATCAGTGAAAAATAATCCATGCTTGAATTATCCTTACCTGTTTTCCATTTATGTAAGTATACTGGATGTTGCATTGCCCGGTATGTGAATGTATGTGAAAGAGTCCTAAGAAGGATTCGAAAATGCTATAGTTTTAACAAATACAAGGAGATGCAGTTCTGAAAGGCTGAATCTAACTATGCTTTGTGGTGGAAGGGATTGATTGCCTCCCAGAGAATAACTTTTACTTTTTACAGATACATAACATGACCCAGGACGGTGCTAAGCTCTGTGGGCATTATAAAATCCTAATAATTATGATCATTGTTATAACAGTAGGCATTTTCTGAGCTCTTATTTTGTGCCTAATGCAATACTAAGAGCTTTGCAGGAATCTCCACAATATGTGAAGTAATTATCTGCATTTTTCAGACAAGGAAACAGGTTTGGAGAGGTAAGTTTCTCGAGCAAGGTCTCACGGCTAACAAGTCTGCAAGGCTAGAGCATGATCATGGCAGTCTGAATTCAGAGACTTGTGTGCTCTTAGACACCGTAATACACAGTGTCCTAACAGAATGTTTGTTACAAGATTGTGTAAACCCTCAATTCTGTTACAAACAGAAACAACTTTTAGAAATGTATACTAGACATTTCTGTGTGGTACAGTTATGCGCATTTGAGTACAAAAGAGAGTGAATGAGTGGGGATCTAGTAGACAAGGAAGATACACAGAAGAGTCAGGATGTGAGCGTCTTGAAGGATAATTAGGAGCCAGGGATAGAGGACATGTTTCAGGTTGGGGAGAAGCATGGTGAAAACATAGTTAGATTTCACAATATGATGCCTGAAACCCTTTCTGGTGATAGGAATTGGGGTGGAGGCAGAATCACAGCCCCCCGTCATCCACACCATTTCCTCACTTTCACTATGAACAGATCAACCTACGGTCAGCCCCTAGGCCCTGCTTTATCTACAGAAAGTCAATCTTGCTGTGGACTGGAAAAAGGAAAGGGAATCCAAGGATCTCGAGCAGAATCTGGAATCTAGCTAAAGAGCCCTTTTGGGTGTCCTGTAAAAACATGAGAGTTTCTGCAGTGATCACCCAAGTTGAGCTGAGCCTCACTGTCTTCTGAGTTCAGGTTGGGTGAGGCAACTTTCCATGTGTGTGAATCTTCAGTGGATTTGCCTTAATCCAAATTTACAGTTTCAGATTGAACTGTACTTCAGATGAATATCTTTAATATTTAAGTGTTAATGAGAAGTTGAGACACTTTAGAACTCATCTCTTTTTTTAAAATTAGCCTCTAGTTGACTTACACTTTTATATTAGTTTTAAGTACAGCATAGTGATTCAGTATTTTTGCAGATTATACCCCATTATTGGTTATTACAAAATAATGGCTATAATTCCCTGTGCTATATCCTTGTTGCTTATGTATTTTATACTTATCTTTTTAATTGGTCTTTCAACCATAAAAACCAAGTCAGGTGATTTTCCATTTAATTGGCAACTACTGAGTCCAAGCAATGAGGATTCACTCAAGTTACTGTCTCTGTAGGTTTTGGATAGATATCACTCATCTTACCAATAGGGCACTTCCTACAGCTCTCTCTTCCACAGCCTGGGGTATATGTGTCTGGAGCAAGTCTTGCCAGTGTTTTACTGATGTATAATCTCTTACACTTTATTTCCTCCTGACACACTAGAGTGGAAGGATATGGGCACAATCAGCCTGTAAATCAAAAGACACTTTACTTGGAGAGGTTTTGGAAGGTTCATAGTTTCCATCCAAGTCTGAGTTACTATCTATTTAGAATGCCCTGCTCTTCCTACTACTGAAATGAAATTGGGACAAAGTATCATAGATTTTGAATCAGATCACCTTATTTCAGATAGGTGAGCTCTGGAGAGTTGCTGAAAAGAGAGAAACATACCCATGTTCATTCTCACCACATCCTCTTAAGCCCATGTGAGCCTTCCTTAACTCTTAGCTCAGGCTTTCTGCCCTCAGGCATGTTATATAAAATCTTAATTATGATTTCATCTATGGCTCATAACATTTTTATTTTCAGTCTAGTATGTGATCCCCTTTAGGATAACCAGTCCTGGGGGAGATGCTCATAACACTGTGTCTGAAGTCATAGAAGAAATTTTGGAGTGTTAAAATGGGAAGAATCCTGGAAGTCATTCTTCAAGTCCAACCTCCTTATTTTGGAAATGGGAAAACAGACCTAGAGGTTATCTGTCCCACCGAAGAGCAATGAAGGGGTAGCAGGATAAAAACACAGAATATTGTCAGATAAAATATAATACTTGAATGACGGGCTCTGTTTCATTATAAACAGTGGCACTCAAGATACAAAACTAGAGATGGCCTACCACTCTCACTAATTCACATCTTCATTCTTTAAAGATTAAAGTAAAAAAAAAAAAAATACTCCACATAATGAAACAACCCATAATCTAGTGTTTATTAGAAGCAATTAGCGGTTAGGGCTCTCCCTACATGGCATTTGATAATGCTTATTTGAAATAAGACTTGGCTTGCATGGAGAGCAACCAACCCTCATTAAGAAATTTTTTTTTTAGTGATTAACAAATTTCAAAATAAAGTAAAATTATTTCAACAGAATTTGGCAAAACTTAACCTGAACTTCATATATTACTTCGTTCAAACCGAGAGGGAGCTTTGAATGGCCAAGAATTTATAATAAGGGGATCAAAGTAGTTTTTTAAAAAGTATTTAAAGTATTTGTGGCTGTCTGGAGGGGTGGGATAGGGAGGGTGGGAGGGAGGGAGACAAAGAGGGAAGAGATATGGGAACATATATATATGTATAACTGACTCACTCTGTTATAAAGCAGAAACTAACACACCATTGTAAAGCAATTATACCCCAATAAAGATGTTAAAAAAAATAAAAAAATAAAAATAAAAATAAAAATAAAAATAAAAAATAAAAAAAAATAAAAAGTATTTATATTTTCATCATAAATAAATCAAAAAGACTTTGGAGAAATGTTTGAGGTTATTGAAAATGACTTTCAAGGGTATAAATTTGAGAAAAGTTACAGGAAAAATTGTAAATAATAAATTACCATTATATACAGCCCACATCTATGAAATTCCTAGAGGATAATAGATCTTTGAAAATATGTGTTTTTCTGTTTTGTTTGTTCGTTTGTTTTCTTTTGCGGTACTCCGGCCTCTCACCGTTGCGGCCTCTCCCGTTGTGACCTCTCCCGTTGTGGAGCACAGGCTCCGGACCAGCAGGCTCAATGGCCATGGCCCACGGACCCAGCCGTTCCGCGGCATGTGGGATCTTCCCGGACCGGGGCACGAACCCGTGTCCCCTGCATCGGCAGGCGGACTCCCAACCACTGCGCCACCAGGGAAGCCCTGAAAATATGCCTTTTAAATTTGATTTTTACAAAAGCAGTACTAATCTTTTACAAAAGCAGTACTAAATCTTTGTTTATATTCTTTGCATTTTTTATACCACTAAATAAAACCTGAAATATATGTTGCTTAAGAAGATCACTTAAAATCAAATTTAATTTTTCCAGCAAGCAGTTTTTTGAGTGATTGCTACAACAGGAGAGGGAATTAGAAGATGCTGTAGAAAGTTAAATCATGGCGTCTAAGGGAGATGTTTGGAGTCTATTTGAGGACACCTACTGCCCTGCCCATTCACCTTAAACAACTTGGAAAGCATTTTTTTTTTTTTTTTTTACTCTAAAAGTATTACAGATGATTCCTAAGGTTCTCATGAAAGGTTTTTGTTTGTTTTTTAACATTCAAAGATAGGTGGCAAACTCACTAATACGTGCTTCTATCCCAATATTTTGACCATCAGGGCTTCCGCAGTTAATGACTTACAAGGAAGGGTCATGCTGCTTCCTCATTAATCTTGCCTCAGAATCTCCTTGGGCTATTATGCATTTCTTAGCCTCTTTGTGCCTCCAGAATGCTTTGAAAC